GTTGGCGGCATGGCCCACAAGGCCAGCACCGTTCTGTCGCAGGATGGTGGTGCCTGCAAATTCCTGTTACACGACGGTGGCCGCCTGCCAGTTTGGCGGCAGGTTCTGCCGCCTCCAGGCGTGGCGGCACGCGTCGGCTGCCGCGCCCTGCCGCCACGGCTAGGCGGTCTGTTTTGCCAATTTGATTTACATGTAGTTTTTTTGTCAATTCATCTCGGCAAGTGGTCTTTTTGGACAAAAAATTCTAACTCGATCGGTTTCCACGATCCGGACAAACATGGGCACGTGGGATTGTTTATTGGTCCAAGATTCTCATTTTCCACTTGCCTTTGGTTCTTTTTTCCCTTGTAATTACAGCCAAAATGCAATAGGGAAGACCAACTTGGTGTACCACTAGGAGACTCGCTGCCGGGTCTGCATCCATTGCATACTGTGGCTGAACCACCACATCCTTCTCCTTCCTGATCATAACCCTCGATCGGCCTTTGAGGTACCTGCTCACCATGTCAGTGAGATAAATGGTCGACTGACGGACGAGATGGAAGCAGGAGGGGTGAGATCGGGAGCCAGCTCAGCTGCTCTACGGGGATCCATCCAGAAAAAGAATTATAACTGAAGGTTGAACAGTTTGGCAATTCCTTTAAATTTGTTGCCCAACAGCACAGCTCAAACCAAAATGAAGGGCAACCACGAATTTCGTGTTAGAGCCAGTCCGATGCCTCCGCCCGCAGAAATTGGACAAAATTACACAAACGATGGACAATATGCAAATTTCTTTCATGAAGATATAGAAAACACATCAGGAGACGAAACTAGTGCACTGCTGTAACGTCTAAGCATGTATGCAATATTCTGGCGCTTTTATCTCCATTTTTACTGTCATTTTCTTAGCACTACAGAGTACAGACTGCTCAACTATACATGTCTAGGAGTAAGAATTGTTCTTTTTGTACTCATAACGAGACAATCAAACACCTCTTTTTTCAATGCAAGTATGCACGTTCTACGTGGTCAGTCATCCAAATAGCGTTAAATTTGTATCCGCCCAAAAGTGTTGCCAATATTTCTGGTCATTGGTTAGACGGTATTACAAATAGATTCAAAACGCTAATAAGGGTGGGAACGTATGCCTTAATTTGGTCACTTTGGTTATGTAGAAATGATTTGGTTTCTAATGACAAAAATGCTTCTCCACTGCAAGTTATTTTCCAGTTACGCACTCGCTACGTACGTGGTCTATGCTACAACGGCCGGAGCACCAACCGCTGTTCATGGCGGTGTGTACGCGATTGAAGCAGGTGGCTACGGAGGTTTTTTCCCAACATGGGTGGCAGCATAACCTTCGGATCGATCCGCCACCCCCTTCGACATAGGCATAGTGTCGGTCTATAGGACTCTACTGTTGCCGATTTGTCGGGTTTTTCTCAAATAAATTTTTGTTAGACTTCTAGATTTGGCTTTGTGCATCCTAGTTATGCAGAGGCCGGGTATTACTCATAATGCTTTGTATCCACTTGATGCTACATTTTGAGATAATAAAGTCGCCCTTTATCGAAAATGTCAGTTAGACAAATGATCGATGGACGAGATGGAAGCAGGAGGGGTGAGATCGGGCGCCAGCTCAGCTGCTCTACGGGTATCCATCTTTAAATTTGTTGCCAAACATCACAAGTCAAACCAAAATGAATGGCAACCACGAATTTCGTGTTAGAACCAGTCCGGTGCCCCCGCCCGCAGGAATTGGCCAAAAATACACAAACGATGGACAATATGCAAATCTGACAAAGATATAGAAAACACATCAGGAGACAAAACTAGTGCACTGCTGTAGCGTCTAAGCATGTATGCAATATTCTGGCGCTTTTATTTCCATTTTTACTGTCATTTTCTTAGCACTACAGAGTACAGACTGCTCAACTATGCATGTCCAGGTATACAAACTATTTCTTCTGTTTCACACTTCACAACAGGAAAGAAAAGATTGCAGTTTTCGCATCTAACTCGAGAGAGTGGTAATGTTTGTTGGAATCTCTGATGATGGTCTCCCTGTACAACGGCGGGTTGTCATCTGACAACAGCTTCTCAATAGGACCATACATCCTCGTGGAGGCCGGGTGGAAGTGCGTGGTGAAGCAGCACGCGATCAAGAGCCTTTGCGCAGCATTCTTCGCCACCACGCTATGCTCCATGCTCCTGAACCCGTCGTTGGAGTTCAACTGAACATGTCGAACAAAACAGCCAGTTCAGAATGATCAAGCATGTCATAGCAATTCAGGATTGATTGAGTTACAGTGTATATACCAGTAAGATATTGCAAATTTCACAATGAATGCACTAGGTGTCGGCATGACGTCTACCCACTGGTCCTCGTGGATGATTTGGAGGCCACCAATTTCGTCTTGCAGAAGTATGGTTAGGAAGCCAGAGTCTGAATTTTGGCTTCTCCTGATAGCGAGTTCAGGCTGGGGAGAGAGAGGGTAGCAGTGGCAGAATATGATCTGTTCTTGGTTGCACTCTATATCGGTCAGGTAGCTCGGTTTGAGCTCGAGAGCTTCCGAAAGCAGCTTGAACAAAGTATTACCCAAATTCTTTGCTTGTTGAGCGTATTTAAACAGAGCTTCGCTGCAAATCAACAAGAAAAAACAGTAAATCTTGTTAATGAATTGTTTTCAATACGTACCAAGTAATTTCATTTCACAAGTGAGCCAGTGCTGATAGGTAAGGATTAGCTCACTCCAATTGAAGTAGTATCCTTAGTTTCACTCAGTTGAGCTGTGATCTTAAGCATTATAATAGGAAATATATAGGTGATTCCACTCCCACCATGAGAATCATACTACCATCAGTACTAACCAAAGATTACTCCAATTCCAAAAAGAGATAGAGAAAGGCCAATTATTTTTACAAAGCATACAACCTAGCAGAATTTCAGACATCTGTTTTCCTCATTGACAGTTAGTTTCTGAAGGCGACAAGCAAATGGGGGCAGATTGTTGAGAAAGTTATTTTCATATGTTTGTCAGGAAAAAAACTCCATGAAATTTTGTGTAACAAATTAAACTGGACGGTGTGCTAATTTGGCGTCAAACTGGACCCGTTTGCCTATCTGCACACAAATTGAGTAGTTTGAATTACTTTGGGCTAGTTTTTGAGAGCTTGAGATCAAACTTCCAAGGTTTCCTTTTGTACTCCGTTTTTTTGTAGTTGCGCTAGATATGTGTGGCATCTATATATCCCCCAATGTTTTGTGATGAGCAAAAAGGATCTGATCCACGGGGATAGATACAGATAGTTCCAGGCACATACAATTAACTACTGGCACAAATAATTGCACATCACAAGATCGATTATTCATCTAACTAATTAAAGCGCAGTATGAGTAAATAATTGCTCAGTTTACTAAGTCGGCCTAGCATTAGAACTAATTAAAGCGCAGTAGGAGTAAATAGAGCCAGGAAACCTGAAGAGCCATGCAGAGGTAGTCAGGTAGAGCATGTCCACCGGCGACTGGTACAGGTCGAGGTTGCAGTGGTACTTACCGACGTCGCCTGCTCATGCGAGTAGAGCTTAGCCTTGCCGCTGCCCTCGCCGGCTCGCCGCCATCGGCCTCGTGGAATTCCCGCAGCGCGTCCATCGCAATAGCCAGCGCGCGGACCCGTCGACGAGGAAGATGCGGGGGACACGTCGGAAACTCCGTTGTTGGGTGATGCCAGAGGCGGCGTGGCCGCGGACGCCGGAGAAGATGGCATCTAGCGCCAGGAGGTCGGTCGAGGAACTGTTGGCTTTGGGTGCCGGTGCGCCCGGCATTAGGCCAGAGACGGCTCTGCTTTGCTCTGCTCTTCCTCCTCTGCCATTTCTCTCCTCGTCAAGCTATTCTGTACTTCGCTGTTAACTTTCACCAAATTATCAAACTTTGACTGACTGCTAATCTTGATATTACAAAACGCAAAATTGTTTCTACTTTGACTGCTAACTTAATGTTTTGGTTTTACAAGCTTTGAAATTGGACAATACAGACACTCAAACATTGAAAACCAAACAAATTTGGTCCCTCGAAACTGTATGATGGATGATTGCCAGTCATATGACAACCCAACCAAATAAATAGAACAACAGGCAGGATAGATGGAAAAGCTGAAAACATTACGAAAAACATGAAATTTTGCATGCAAATTTCAAGCTATATAAGGTTGGACCCTCCTCCTTTTTCCGGGCTTGGGACCGGCTATGAATAGTATATTAAGCATAAGCTTAAAATTAGTTGCATAGGCGGAGTTCCCCCACCTCCCTCACCCCTCAAAAATCCACCCACCGACAGAAACCAAAACAAAAAAACTAGCAAATGGCATAAAACCTAGCACCTATACATATTTTTGGATTTTTTTTTCTTGGGCCAACATGCCTCTAGACGCTAGAAAGTAAACACAATCTTTTTTTAAATCTTTTTTTGGCTAAAATGGACACAAGATATTTTTATAAATAAATAAGCAAACTAAAGAGCATAGTAGTAAATATATTTACTCATTTTTAATCGTTGGAGAAAATAAGTTGATCTTGAATGAGAAACAATAAGCACACACATTAAACTATGAAAGGCATTTTTTTTTGTTTTTTATATACTCCCCCTCCCCCTTTTTTTTTGCTTGAGCCTAAAAAGAAACTCAACTACTAGTAGCGAGCGAATACTTTTTTCTGCAATTTTTTCATATACTTTTCTCCTTATCTCTTTCGCTTTGAGCCAAGAAATAAGCTCACGGAGTGTCGATTGGTCGATGATGCAGCCGTCGATACGCGTACACATATGTTTTGCAGATGCGTGTGTCTCCAATAAACGATGACAGCCTATAAAAACAAGTGGTGTCACAAGGTATAGCATGGCTTTCAAATATGAATAAGTGTGGAAAATAAAATCTAAATATGCATGTACGTATACACAGTTTGCAGCCTTTAAATTATTTTCCTTTTAACGGGAAACCAAACTATATCTGACCTGCAGGTCTTCACTCCAACTCTTGGTCCTCGCTGTTGTCGACATCCTTGATGTAGACGTCCTCATCACGAGCGTCTTCAGAAGAAAGAGGGACAGTACTTCAGTAACGACAAGCATCATGGATTTAAATGACGTACAATACTACCTTCTCGTATGTCCTCGTCGAAGTGGATGCGAAGGGTGGGACGGTTAGGATGGACGTGGAGGGCCTTCTCCAGCGCAGCCTTGGCTTGCTTGGCCTCCCCGACCGTCACTCCCGAACGGAAGAATTCGACTCTGACGTGACGAAGGGACGGCAGGTTCTCCATGCCCATGTCAAACCAATCGCCACCGTTGCCAGCCGCTTCCTCTTTTGCCACCCGCAAACCAATAAAGAGAGCAACTCGTTCGGTCTTGGGCCAGGCTCCTGGTTGGAACAATATTTGCCTTGGGGACTTGGAAACCAAGGCGACTTTTTCCAAACAATGGAACCCCTCGGCGCCCACAAGTAGTGGCCTTTGGTTGTCACTGATTGACATGAGAATCCGAAGAGCCGGTAACCTTCCAATGAATCCCAGATCCTCCTGTCGCACTTCCCCAACACATATTTCTAACCTGAAGAGCTGTGACAGATGGTATGGATTCCATACCGGCAGCCTAGATAATCTGGCGCCTTTGTACATGATAAACTCCTGGAGACTTGCAGGGGGCACCCAACGCTCGAGATTCACTGAAACTGCATGCTCACACCTTGTACTGATTTCTACGAGCCGGATCTTTCGCATTTTCCCTAGTGCCTCCACAAAATCCTCCACCAGCCCCGAGCTCTCAAGCCGAATATTGAGCCCTCTCAGTCTATGCATGTTGCCCAGCTCTTTTACAATGCTTATAGAGCCAACTTTGATCTTACTCAACACTTCCATTGATCGCAGGTTTCCAACACCATCTGGAGGCTGAAACCTCCCACCATTAATCCGTAGGCACAACAATCTTGTGAGCTTAATCACAGTCAACGGCAGCCTTGTACCTCTAGGCAAATCCAACACCTGCAAAAACTGCAAGTTTCCAATCTCTTCCGACAAATTAGTAATATCTTGTCCGGATAGACGTAGGTACCTCAAGTGAAGTAAACTCCCCAACTCTTCAAGGTTGAAATGGTCCTCCTTAGTACCATCATATCCATCCAAATCTAATACACGCAAAACAACAAAGCTCGAAAATGGTGGCATGAGATCAATAGCAGGTGCAAATGTAACAACAGACCTCACTTGTCCTATATACCCAGACCTGAGACACCTGGTTTGACCTTCTTCTTTTCTATCATTTTGGAGGGACCATCTGCGGACAATACACTCCGAAGACATGGTGTCACTAGTACCATTCAGTATAGTCACAAAGTTCTCTTCACTTGACATGGCACAAATTAGATCAAGTACACTATCGTGTACACGACATGCATATACATAGCCATAATCATCATTATACCGGCTGGATCAAGCTTCTGTTCACAAGCTCATTGAAGTAAGTTTCTCTGACCTCAAAGAGACTAGTATTTGATTTTCCACATTGGACAAAGCTTTCGGCAATCCACATCCATATCAACTGATCTTTCATGATCTCACTATCTTCCGGAAACAAGCTTAGGTATAATAAGCATGTCTTCAGATGTGAAGGAAGGTCATAATAACTAAATGATAGTATCCTCATCATCTCCTCTACACCGGGATTTTCATTAAGTCCACGACCAATAGACTCTAGCAAAACATGCCACTCATTTAGTGAATTTGCTCTTTCATCACTAGCCAAAACACTAGCTATTGTAATGATGGCCAATGGCACACCACCACATTTTTTCAATATATCTTCAGACACATCTTCGAACTCATGAGGACATCCACTCTCTTGAGAAAATATACGTTTATGGAAGAGCCTTTTGGAATCAGCATCACTAAGAGGTTTCATTTGATAAACTGAATCATTAGTAGACGAGCAACATAATTTAGATACACTGACTATACGAGTTGTAGTTGATGGTTGTCCATAATTTCTCATCCCATATATCATCAATTACAATGAGGTACCTATACCAAATTAGAGATCATTACTATAATTCATATGTAACATGGTAAGCCTAAAGGGGTAGATAATCTAGCATTATGAATGGGAGATGAGATTTTTGAAGAAATGTTTCAAATAGTTAAGATGCACTGGAGAAAAAAAAGGATTAACTAATTGATGGATTAACGATCAGGTCTCAATCAAGTACATTTAGGTATACATTTTCTAATATTGCCATATTGATAAGATGGATCCCTGAACTCAAAGAAGCCCATAGTACAATAGTAGTATTTCCATGAAAAAGGTGATGTAGTAGTATATCATACTAATTAGACTTGCTCAACCAAAACTAGTGAGGGCAAGATTATTATAGTTTTCTCCTATAACAATAAAAATTATGGACATTTTTATGGGTTATTCATTTGCTATTGTAAGTAATGAAGTAAAATTGCATGGGAATTAAAGTGAATTAGTTATGTAAGTAATGAAGTAAGTGAAATTATTCATTTGCTTTAATTAGTTATGAAGTTGGGGAATAATGTGAAAATTAATTATGAAATTAATTATGGACATTAGTTAATCATTTTGTATCTTCTACTAAATTAATTATGAAATTATTCCCACTTGATTCGGTTGATTGCATAAGTGAATAGGTGGGACAGTTTTCTCCTAGCTTACTCGTTTGCTATTGTAAGTAATGAAGTAAAATTAAAGTGATAAAAGTGTTATAACTCTTGCATATGTATAAAGAGGTATATATATATGACATATGAGGATCCGGAAAGGAGGAGAAAGAGTTCAGTGGGGTTTGGGATAGGAGCACATGAGAGTCACTATGGTCCATGGTTTACTTAAGGTACCATATATCTATACATGATAGAATACAAAGTAACCATGTCAGATTAATTAAGTGGGACAAAGGATTCAACCAATATGAAATCTTTGGCATTATTTAGTTCGTCCCCCTTACGCACGATGTACTTCCTAGAAAACTTGAATTTAAACTTCTAAATTTTCTAACGCTAATTAATAAAAAAATAGTAGTATTCGAATTCTTTAGGTATGGATTATGCTATTGGTTTTTTCATGATAAAATTTTATTTCTATATAATGACTTGCTTACATATTAATGAAGAATTAACGATCAAAGCTCCTCATGGGAGATTATGCAAAATATTATGTCATCCTGCCATCATGTGTCCCGAATCAAGTGGGAATAATTTCATAATTAATTTTCACATTATTCCCCAACTACAATAGCAAATGAATAAGATATTTCCCCCGCAAAAAAATAAATAAATGAATTAGATAGTTACCATCACTAAGTGGGTGAGAGGTTATATGAACGTACCTCTTTTTCTCTAGACTTTCTCGTAGTTTGTTGATCAGCCTTGTCTCATCCAACATGGTGAGTTGACTTCCTTCCATTCCAAGATCAAGAAGGATGTCCATCAAAATCTTCTTTGGATCAGCATTTCGACCAACAGAAACAAAAGCACAACAATTGAAATCTCCTTTGATCTTGTCATAAACCGTTTTGACAAGTGTGGTCTTGCCCAATCCTCCAAATCCAACAACAGAGACAATCTTTAACTTTTTCTCGGACACATTATCTTCATTTGAGACCAACTTCATTAGCTCTTGGTCTCTTTTTCCATCAATGCCAATGAGCTCTGTCACTTCCTGTAGAGAGCCCGAAGGAGAGGATCAAGTGTCACGACTGCAGGCCTACCGACGATACTGTCGATATTATACCTTGCACGCCTATCAGAAATCTCCTTGACTTGCTTACTGATGACCTCGATCGCATCTGCGATCTCATGACGAGCCTTTCCCCTATTGAACAGCCCGACCATCTTCTTTGTGAGTCGTTTGAGCTTGTCTGACTTAGCGGTGGGCTCAGAGCCGCCATCAACACGCACCAAGAACTTGTCGACAATGTCCTCCATGTCGAAGGAGAGATCCCTCACCTCCCCTGCCCAGATCTTGACCTGCAGGTCGAGCTGGTCCCGCGGCACCTCTGCCACCTTGAGGAGGGCTGCATGCATGCTCCTCATCTCTTCCTCAAGAAGCTTGACGCCTTCCCTGACGCCTTTCTGCAGCTTGTACTCCTCGCCGAGGAGCTCCAGCAGCTTGGGGAGCAGGGTGCCCATGGCACCCGTTGCCAGATCCATGGCTCCCTTGCTCGTAATGGTTTGGTGTGTTCTTTGGTGGATAAGCGCATGCGCACAGTGGTTGATGTACGTTTGGGTGTGCAGGGTTGCTGTTCTTTGTAGGAACTCGGGCAAGTCCACAATGATGTCAACATTTTTCTAGAATGCATGTAGTCACAGAGCATCTCAAAGCCGCCGGGCAGAGCTCCCGTAATGCACGGTGATAATATTCAATTACATAATTCCCACTCATCTAGGCGTTGAACGAACATGGGCAGAACGTGCATTGATTCCTGTTGTCGCATTGATTAGTGCAGGCTTAACATGGGTTGTCTCTTTGTGCAAAACCTCTGTTCTTAATGAAGTGTACAGCTTGGTTATGGCCAAAAGCCTTACATGTTTAGTTAACACCCAACGAGTGATTAGTTAGCAACAAGATATGATCAAATCAATTTCTTTTCCAACCTGTTATTGTCAGGTAAAAAGTCCACGTTTACTCCTCCAACATTCGGTTGGCCCGTTGTGCAAAACTTCGGCGGAGTGGTTGATGTACGTTTGGGTGCGTAGGATGGCTCTGTATATATCGAACCCGGCCGGCCGGCAAGTTCACAATCATTGAGTACATTTTTAATTCGAGAATGCTTCTCTATGCATCTCAAAGTCGTCGCCTAAGGCCCTCCCAGTAACGTGCACTTGTAACATTCAGCTATATAAAATGGCACACACCTTAAACTCTCAGAACATGCCATGACGTGCACTGATTCCTGTAATCGCATAGATCAACGCTGGCTGAACGTGCGGTTGTCTCTTGTACAAAACTTCTGTACTTGATGTAGAAGAGTACGACTTAGTTAGGGGCCAAGGACATACTCCCTCCGTTTCAAATACTTGTGGGTGTAGTCCTTTTTCTCGTAGTCTCTGGATGGGTCGAAATACACGGCGTGGGAGACTGGCGGGTAAAGAACGATAAGGACGGCGCGCCCATTGCTGCGGGGAAAAGACACCTCAAATTCTTCTCCATATGAGCGAGAAGGAATGATTCAAATGTACGAAAGGGTTGTCCAAAACTGACCTACTTTAGATGATAAGGCAGGAGGACAATTTCCTGGTCCTTATTCTGTGCCATGAAGTTTTGGAGGTAGTCCCTAGCAGTTTCACGCTCGAAGTCGCCGAGACTGAAGAAAGACTCGTGCATGTAGTACGGATCCGCCACACAGATTTGCGAGACTTCTTCTCTCTTCATGACGGAGCTCATATGTAGCGCAAAAAGGCGGACGATTGTAAAATCGAGCCGCCTTTGTCAGAAACATCTCAATGATATGGTCAAACCGCAGGAAGAACACCTCCGCGGGCCGTGTGTTGATGTAGCACTTCCCCTCAGGCACACGAGCCGCGTTTGTCGGATATCCTGGATCCTTCGAGGCTAGTAGGCTTTTCTCATTCGACAACACATGGTTGTGTAGTCTCCTGAGATCCCCTGATAGTGCCTCCAGCGGTTTCGGTGGTAGCATCGGCTCGCCTGTGAGATGGAACATGGCCGCACCTTTCACGGGTACACGCTCTTCAGAATCCATCGTCTGGCTGCTATGTGCTCTGGCTTGTTTGGAGGCAGCTTTCTTCCCCGATCTCTTCCTCTCCTTTTTCTTGGGCACACCTTCCAGACCCTTCCTTAACCCCTGCCCTAGTGTTCCCGGGCTAAGAACTGTATGACCCCCGGATAGTTGAGCCTGTGTTGAGGTGGCATCTTCAGGTGTGTCCTGTGAGGATTTCATGAAGAGAGACTTTTTGCAATCCCTGCTATGACCTTCCTACCCGGGCAGATCATCCATATACTCATTAGCATGCTGATAGCCCGATTCGTCATATAGTTGACTCATCATATCTATGTCAGTCATACGCGTTTGTATTGAGGAAACCCATAGGGTCGACATCCGTCTCATCATCCATTCTCTGTTCTATAGGACCGTTTACATCAGCTAGTACTATTGCACCCCCTTCATCACGTCGTCCGCCGCTCTCACCCGGCACTACAGGAGCTGGTAATTGCATAGGCGGGGTGGTGGTCACTGCACATGCTTGTTGATGTGTGGTTATTGGTGTGCTCTCGGCCGGCTCCAGACGAATAAGATTCTTCGGCCATAGCAGCACCCAACCCTTGCAGCTTCCCATCCACGGCGGGATCTCGTCGTCCTCTCCCACATGCT